GCGCGAGACACAAATCTAAAACGGCTCTTCTACTTATTTGTGATTCCCGGAAGTTGTCAATGATAGTATTCCTCGTAGTGACCACAAGATGTCGTCAACGTAGCGCCTGAAGACGATGTATTGTGTAACGATGGCCAGGTTGCAGAACTTTCTCGCAAGCGATTCACGTTCATTTTTGAGGCGTGAAATTGGTACACCTCTTTTCCACAGTAAACCAGTCATGCATGACAGATCACTGGGTGGCGCAAAGAAGAAGGCTGGCTTGAAGTGACGTTAGGTTTGCGGGTGATTACGTGATCGTGTGTATAGCTCTTGTGGGGGGGGGGGGGGGCAGTTAGGTTTGCGGGTGATTACGTGATCGTGTGTATAGCTCTTGTGGGGGGTGGGGGGGTACATTGTGTTCATACATTTGTCCGCTGGAGGAGTCAATTTGGGTCTCAAAATGATTTTAACTTTAACCTGTGTGCATAAAATGACATCAAACTGGTGCCTGCGACTTTGAGCTCCATGGGTGGGTTTCTGGCACTGACGTCTAAAAATGTAGAAGTTGCCTTGCAGCCGCAGGTGATGTTCCGTGCTCATGCCCAGCCAGTGGTGCACTCCGACTGTCCTCCCGGCTGTTAGTTACTAGGGTCGTAGGAACACCCTGAACCTTAAAATTAAACGTTTCCCTGGCACAAGTGTCAACCCTCTTGTCTCGAGATCCATGTTCGCCACATCCAATATGGCGGAGGTGTCGTCTTATTAGTCAAAGAAAATGGCAATATCTATGTACATATGTCTCCCCTCCCTGTCTTAAAGGCGCCGCGTCACCGTCTGGAGAAAAGGAAGATAAACATCTTCCAGAAATGCCTTCCAAATTTCCGCGCCTGGTTCGACCGGCGGGACCGACTGGCACGACCGCTGTGGCCCGGCTCGCGGGGCTCTTCTCGGACTAGAAAAGACGAGAAGGTCGGTCAAGACGGGCGGGAGGTGCGCCATTTTTCCCCCTGTGATGAAGACGTCTGGCCTACAAGGCGATGTGTGACGATGAAGCACCACAGTGGGGACTTAAATGACGAATGAGATCACACCTCCTCCCACGTGAGCCTGGGCTCGGGACCAAGCGTCGCCGACCAGCCCTGCTGTGCCATCGCGCACGTCACGCGGCGCCCATGGATGACAACTCGGTTGGGCTGGTGGCGGCTCGGAAGAGAACGATGGCGTTGGGGGGGGTGCCGGTGGAGTCATCCATCGCAAGACTTCCCACTCTACGCGATTGCTGTATTTAGAACGGCCAAAACCAGCCTCGTTCTCTGCCATTCATCGGGACGTCCTTTGCATTCGAGGCACAAAGCCGAAACCTTGCGATTCATCCCGAGGCTCGGGAAATCCCATTGCGAGTGCTAACTGAATCCATTTGCTCCACTTATTTGGCACGCCGTTTGAGCGAGACGCTTTTGGTTGTCGGGGTCCCGACGGAAACATCTCACCAAAATTGTGCTCTTGAAATCTGAAGAGTGCGCAGGAGACCCCCCCGCCGTGCATGGAAATTGACACGCATTGGCCGCCGCCCGATGAGGAGTCATTGAAGGCTTCACGCATCATCGCCCACTTCGATTCCGCATTTGTCAGGGGCTGCCTTCCAGTTGGTTGTGGTTTTCACCGGGGGCTGTCGTGTGGGCCCGCGTCATTCGATACCACGCAATTTAGTTGGTTTTATGACAGCGGCTACAGTAGCTAACCTGCTAAAGGCACATCTGTACGGGTAGAAAGAGATTGTATCGAAATGTGTATTTTAAAATTATCTTGCCAGACAACGATATTTTAGTTGTGGTTTGTAAACGCACTTTGTTGACAGCTAATTTAATTGGAGGTACACATGTTACATTTGGACAATTATAAAAGAAAAATGTCTGTAAAAGCATGTGGTTATCAGTAATGGCCTTGTCTCAGTTTACTCTCAGATTAACAGAATATGAAATGGGTTTGATCATTTTTACAAAAAGCCATCATTCAGCAGTTTGAAATTAACAGGTGTACAGATAGCTTTATTTTTTACCTTCTGCTCTCTCGAGCATTTAATTGCTCTGGCTGTCACTGTATGTCACTGGCATAGATAGATAAATGAAGGTCCAATTGTTTATTTTATTCATATATATTTTTTGAGTACATTCCACGTCCTTGATCACCTCAGATGCAGTCCATTTCGGTGGAAGTGGGCAGCAGCGGCGATTCTGTGGTGCAGGTGTGCTTCCCGAGCTCCCAGGCCTCAGTGCTGGACGGCCTGAACCAGCAGAGGGAGGACGGTCGCCTGTGTGACCTCTCCATCCACGTCCAAGGTCACGTGTTCAAGGCCCATCGCTGCGTCCTGGCCGCCTCATCGCCGTACTTCCACGATCAGGTGAGAACAGTGTCACACATCTCTCATTAAAAACAAATCCTAATCCAAATGTGAGATTGACCTATCACATTTCTGGCACAAACTTTGAAGCTCATTCGCCACTCCGCTGCCGACGAGTGATGATAAACTAGTAATTGGAAGCAAATCGTCCGGCGGTAACAGAAAGACATGATGCCGATCGTCATCCTGTGCTCTGAAGGTCCTGCTGAAGAACATGTCCAGCGTGTCCATCCCGGCTGTGATGGACCCGCTGGCGTTTGAGAGTGTGCTGCGCTGCGCCTACACGGGTCAGCTCAGGATGCTGCGCGAGGACATCGTCAACTACCTGACTGTGGGCAGCGTCCTGCAAATGTGGCACATTGTGGACAAATGCACAGAACTCCTCAAGGAGGGCAGGTCTGCGGGGGGAAGTGCGAGAGGAGACGGCACCGGCGGCTCAACTAATTGCGGTGGTCTTGGTCGGGATCAAGTTCGGCCGGCGGGGTCCCAAGACACGCAGGCTTCCTACGCAAGTTTGGAAAGTATGAAATATGATTGCATAAATTCCATATGCTATTGGACACTGATACTATTTTATAGTTGGTTTGAGAACTGTTGAATTTATAGTTGTCGATGTAACAGTTTCAGGCCTGTGTACCTGGAACAGATTCTCATTAGCACAACAAACAGAGCAAAATAAAAGTAATTGTGTTCAAAGTAAGAGTGCGAGGCACCAAAAAATGCACCGTGTTATGTCACACAAGTTTTTTTATTGCCTTACTAAGGCTAGTAGCTGATATTTTTGATGAGTCTCAAGTGAAGGGACTTTTTGTTTTTGTTGATGAAAACTGAATAGAGTTGTTTACCTCACGTGGGCTCATGATTGGATGCATTCTGTTGTTGTTCTTTTTTCATCCTATCCGCCCGTTTTGTCAACTTTGCTGTACGGTCATTCACGTCCATTATTGTTTCCGCAAAAGATGAGCCAAATGCTTTGTGTGACGTGCCAGTGCGCGTATTTTTGTGTCGCAAACTACCAAAGACGTTATTTTGTGTCACATCATGAATTCCTGATTCTGTCGCCGTTCGATGCCACCCTACCACTGGAGAATGAGTATGGATTTTTTTCAAATGTCGCATGTATGTGTTAGAAACCCTTCAGGAGCCCCCGCGAGCCTCCCAGCCCCCGAGCCTTCCGTCGGCCAACGAGAGCCAGTCTCCCAGCAGCACCAACTACTTCAGCCCCGGGGCAGCCACGACCTCGGCCGGGGGAGGCGGCGGCGCGGCGGCCAGCCACACGCCTGGCTACGGCACGCCGTCCGGGGAGGAGGCCTACATGATGGAGCAGGATGAGGAGGAGGAAGAGGAGGAGCCGGCGGCGTACCAGCACAAGAAGAGAGGAGGAAACGCGAGGAAGAAATCCAGCTCGGTGTCGTCGGAGGACGTGGGCGTCAGTGACAGTTTTGGGGTTTCCTCATATCAGGTGAAAAACCAAACTTTCCGTTGAGGTACCTTACAACCTGTTCCCCGAACCTTCTGGATTTCAGGCTGTTCAACTTGTATCAGTGGAAAAGCATCATTTGCCCCGCTCGTCTGTCCCACAAAGGTCGGGGGGGACGCGTCCCCGCAGAGACGCACCGCCTATGTCCAGCCCAGCATTATGCCCCGCAAGCAGTGGGTGGTGGTCAAAGCCGAGCGGCCCGAGGACCACGACCTCATCGTGGTGTCGGGCGAGGAAGGTGGCGAGGCGGAGGACGACGACGACGACGAGGAGGACGAGGACGACGAGAGGGGGCTGGCGTCGGGCCGGGAGAGGGACGCCGGCGACTTTGCCATCTCGCACGTGCGGACCCTCTCCGTAGAGACTGGCGGGCGAGGAGACGCCGAAGCGCAGGTCAGAGGCGCTCGGGGTGACTCGTCTGCTCTTAGTGAAAGTCCAAGATGCAGAGACGCCCTGAATTCAATGATTTTTGCCCCCCCCCCATCTAGTTTTTCCTTGAATTACATTAAAAGTCAGCATCTGTTGCTGTCAGTATAAGAAACAAACGTCAACATTATATCTCACGTCCAGATGGACTACTGCCAGTCCTCCGAGGACTTCCTCAAGTTGTCCAGCAGCTTGCTGGACGCGACCTTAGCTCAGCAACTCCAAGACTCCTCAGCGGGTCCGACTCCGAGCCAAGGCGCCAACCGAGCCGCGCCGGGCCTCCTGGGTCAGGTTCCCACCCGCACCCAGCTCTTCCCTCTGGACATGCAGGTAAATCATTTGTCTCGAGGGAATGTTTTAAGATGCATGTGTTGTCCAATCAGTTCAAATTCAACGCTATCAGACATTTCTATGGAAGAAAAAAAAAAAAAGCAACTCCAAGACTCCTCAGCGGGTCCGACTCCGAGCCAAGGCGCCAACCGAGCCGCGCCGGGCCTCCTGGGTCAGGTTCCCACCCGCACCCAGCTCTTCCCTCTGGACATGCAGGTAAATCATTTGTCTCGAGGGAATGTTTTAAGATGCATGTGTTGTCCAATCAGTTCAAATTCAACGCTATCAGACATTTCTATGGAAGAAAAAAAAAAAAATAGTCACGGCATTTTGCAGGGCAACCAGATCCTGGTCTACGGGCAAACGTCAACGTTCTCGATGGACGCGGCGG